CAACAGTAGCAAAAAACTAAAATCTCAAAATCTCATACTGACTTGATTTTATTTGATAAGTAATATTACCTGATGTCTGAGTTGGCTCAGGAATGTTCTAGAATATGTACAGCATTTTGAGCTCCTGACAAAGAGTACAGAATAGAAAATACAACCCTTCACACCTATGAATAAAACAAATGTCTGTTTTGGATTGCCTGAGCCCCTGTACCCTAGGCAAAACTTCTCTCTGTGCGCTGGATAGATCTGTTTTCCCTGAAGACGTTGATAATTTTCTGGATCTTTTCAAGACTCAGTGATGAACCTCCTGCCTTGGCAAGACTAGAAAGCATCATTTCTTAACCTTTGCCATCTATCATGCACGTACAGGTATTTGAGCTTCTTGGAAACTCCAGTTCTGTGCCATACAAAAAATTCTGACAAAAATGTCTGAAAGTAGGTACACTTACCTTTCCGTAACTAACACCTTCAGCTTCCATTGATTAAGCATCGCTATTGTATTTTAGATTTTATTAGGAGTGCAACAAGACTCCTGTTCTGGAGGACAGGAAATAAGGCATGGGAGCTGCTACTGCAGCCTCAGTTATTCCTCGTCCTTCGAAAGATTTGAATCCTGTGTCTCCTTGGTTGTGCCCCAGTTGTCTAAAGGGAAGAGCTAACACAATGCATGAAACACAGGAAATGTAATTTATCTTTGAAGTGAGATATCTGCACAGTCTTTCAAACATAAAGCACTATATAGTCAGTTTTTCCCCCTCAGTGTAATGCTATTTTAGACGCCTATTCAGTAAGCAGTAAATACTGTTGAGAATAAGCTTTCCTGAAGAGATAAAACAAGATGCTTTCTTCAGTTTTAGTGTTGCTTTTCAAACCCTGAATTTTTGAGATCTGTCTTTATAAATGACAAAAGTATTCTCCCTGTTTTAACACTTTCCAAAATTTGATGGAATTTAATACTTCTGAGTGTACTGAATGCAGGGGTTAGTTGTTAGTTAATTGTGTTTTGTTGAATGCTAACTTCAGCTCAAGTCACATCAAATTATTGTGGATTTTCTTCCTTTAATCTGGATTTCAGCACCGTCATTTATTCGGAATTTGATTATTCTGATATTTCTTTATATCTGAAGAGATTTAGAAATGTATGTGGACAAAATTCCATAGCTTTAAATAAAATCTTTCAAATATCCAAGTATTTTATATCTCGCATTTTATAGGATGAAAAACTGATGGACATTAGACATCTGATTCCTTTAAAGCTATTTTCCATAGGTAGTTTAGGATATGGTTACCATTTCTTGTTAATATAACAAGAAAAGTCCTTGCTTTTGAAATATTTGAATCAACACTCAAAATTTTGACTAGGTAAATGAACTATAATTTTGCATACATGCATACATGAAGCCCTTTTAGTTCAGCATTCTTAGGTCTAACAAAAATTAGACCCACAAATCTGGCAAGACTAAGAGGTAATCAGCTGTCTTCCTGTGTTTTGAAACAGAATTGGTGGTCCAAAATACAGGGCACCGTAGTGTTACCATCCCTTGTCTTTGAGGTTTGTCCATTTCTACGTTATTAAAAATGTCTCCTTGGAAGGGAATACTTATGATGGATTTTGACATTTGTTTTGATTAAGCCTTCTATGTTCAGAAGGAGTGTATGCAAAGTCTGATACCTAGGACAGAGGAGAGCTTTTTATGACTTACATATTTTTGTCTTTTGCTCTCATTTTTTTTGGCTTCTTTATAATTTGGTTGGTGTCTTTACTGCTTTAGTTTCAGTGAGACAAAGCACCAGCTATTAATTACTCTGTCAGTTAGTCCGAATGGAGAGCTGCTGACACTCCCACTGGTGCTAACTATAGACTGAAGTAGCACCATCATCATAATGAGGTCAATATTGTCACATGTTGTTAACTTAGTAGGTTAATTCATTTTTGTGAATTCATAGGCTACAAAGTAATATAAAAGGAGAACTTTCATAATCTGAAATTATTTTTTCTTCTTTTACCACTCTTTTTTATCTCTGGGATATTTTTGGGCAAAACTTCAACAAACTTTTTGAGTGGAGAAATCGATGCCAAGCTCTCTAATGTGCCCTCTGCAAAATCATTCTTGAAAAGATGCTGACCACATGTGCTCCTTAATTCCCCAAGAGATTTATTCAAAGGAGACTATTTGCAGCAACCTTAGACTGGCACCTACTAAAAATGGAGAAAAGTATTTGACTTTAACAAAGACAGCAATGCTGCCAGAGTGTGCATGCAGTGAGGATCCAGTCCTGCTGCAACTCAGGGTCAAAGGCAAAGGTACTGTGGAATTCCTTGGATGTTTTTCAGGCAGTAGCAGGGAGACTTGGTGCCAGTCTGATGAGAAAAGAAGGGACTGAAATTCACTTGGCTTAGAAAAGTTGACTGATGTTCCTTGGACCTTGCAAGAAACTTGGAAGCTTTTCTGTTTAGTGAAAATCTGAAGGGTAATGCTACAGTACATGCTGAAAGCAACAGTGGTGCACATATATGCTTGTAGCTCCCCATGGAATGTGAAATGCCAGAACCTCTAGCTTAGTGGCAGAGGAGCAGAAGGACCAAAGGAATCAGGCTCTGCAGGGAAACATTTGAACAGCCAAGCTTGTAAGGCTTTGCATTGTATTCTTTTATGAGAATTAGGTTTATAAATGAGCCTCTGAAAAAGGTATTTCTGTTGCATATATACTTAGTAGGGAGAAGCAGTCTAAATGCCATACAATTTTGCTCAGCAGACAACTAATTTAATCTCTCCCCCCCCACCCACAACTCTTTGGTAGGCATGAGAGAGAAAAGGGAAGTGTCAGAAACCTTTGTTTTTCTAAAACACAAGAATGCAGCTGACAGGAACGGAGGAGTTGCATTGATTAAATCCGAGCTTCCATCATCATAAGTAGCAGAGTTCAGCCTTGTGGGCTGGGAAATAATTACAGCATTGGTGCTGATTACAGAGGAACAAAGCTTGCTTTAAGGCTTCAGTCCTGCTGGCCCTTTGCTTTCTTCGTACGTGGTGCATGTTAACTAAAGTAACAGCTTGTTCTCAATGCTTTGCAACCAGAGGCATGTGAGTTCACATAACTTGCGTAGGCTATGCAGTGTTCCAGGTGCTGTCTGTTGTCTGTGGAATTCAGTCTGCTTCCAAAGAGTGAAAAAAGGCTGATACAGGTGGTAGAAACGCATCCGCTGTGTCCAACAGTAGGGTGTCAGAGTTACTGTTCGTACTCTCATAGAAGGTGCTGATGACTGAAAAATTCTACTACTCAGGTATAAAAACAGGTCTTTGTTCTCAAACAAGAACACTGTGTATTTCTCACAAAATACCAGTCCTAAACTTTCAGCTACTGCAGGCAGTAATTATGATTATGGTATACTCAGCAGAGATTAAAAAAACAAGGCAGATTGGGGCTGCCTGAAATGTTTTCAGCTTGCAGAAGAATGCACTGACATGTGCAGTGTTACTCATCCTGATAATTATGGTCAACTTCATCACATAAATTTCAACCAAAAATATATTTTTGATTCTGGGCATGGCATTACTGCCACTCTGGGGCACCACAGCTCTGTGGTAGGACTGTTCCTCTGGAGTAAGAAGGATCTGGTTACTGCTGCTTCACTTTCATAATGGGATATGAAACCACATTTCCTGTTGACGTTTACTAACGACTGAAGGGTATTCTTTGTCTGGCAGCTTGTGAATGTATCCTTCCTTCAGTTCCTTTGCTTTCCTCATTGCAATGTGGTTGCACTTCTGAATTTGACCACAAACTCTGCCTATGTTGCAAACACGAATTTAGAATTAAAAACTACTTCAGAAATGCAGCTGGATTGCTGTGCCTGCAGCCATTGGACCAGCTCCCATTAAATGCCTCCTGTGAAGTGCTAAGTGCTTTAAAATCCCACTGGGAATCATGAGCTTGAGGATAGTCAAATAAGAGACCAGAAAGCTGCTTGGTTATTTTGTGATTTAAATGTCTATGAGCTGCTGTGAGACAAGTATAACAACAACAACTAATAGTGCTAAACCTGCTGCAGGTTACTCAGACACTCAAATATTGCTTATGATGCTTGCAATATGGAAAACAGCAGAATGCCTGAGGGCAGTGGCAGTATCCGTTGCTGTCACCTGCCTGATGCACTCTGAAAAGTAACAGGATTATGAAAAATAGGTTGGAAATTCTGTTATAATAGATTGTCATTTTATATTTTTCCCTTGGATGGAATGGGGATATTAGGAAGAGGAGGAAGATATAGTTTGCATGGACAGAATTAATACAAGATAAAGTATCCTATTTAATAAGAAAATAATAGCTTTAATTTTATTGTTAGTTGGGTGTTTTTGATTTTTTTTGAGTTTCTTTTTCTGTTTTTTTGTTTTTTTTTTTTTTAAATCCTATCTCTCATTTAATTGGATTTATTTTCCTTTTTGAATGAGGTTACAAACCTTGGTTTATTTGTGCTACTAGTCTTCTAATTGATACCTGATACCTTAGGGGTAGGGTTCAGGACAACTATATCAGCCTGGAGTTATCTTAATTCAAGGCACGTTTTGTGTAAATTTTGCCAAGTCTTGTGTTTTCTCTGTGGTGGTAATACCTCAATGAAGATAGTTAAAGCTACAGTCCATAGAAGATTGTTATGCATTCAAATTTTGAAATAATGGGCTCCATGGAGATATTCAAGGTAGTAGTCTGGGGAAAAATGGAACTGTAAGAATGGAAGGAATCTCTTAGGAGTATTTTCTGGATGAAAACATGGTTTGTTTTGATGCCTTTGTTGCTATGAGAAAAATGTTATTGGAGAAGCTTTGTCACGTAGTACCTTGGCTTAACAAACCAGGTCCAAAATATCTGACTTATGTAGGCAGTCAGCTCAGAGATGTAATAGTAGTCCAGAAGCTAATCTTTTTATACCAGAGTAAGGTGGGAATGTGTATCTTCAGAACTGATATTTGTAATTGATATGGCCCTTGTGCTTACAGAATGGGCTCAATGCTCTGCACCTGGCGGCTAAAGAAGGCCATGTGGGACTGGTACAAGAATTACTGGAAAGAGGGTCGGCTGTGGATTCTGCCACTAAGGTAATTTATATGTCTGTATGTTTATTCTCAAAAAGAACAAGTCAAATACATGGGAGAGGTTTAGAAAAAAAAGTACAGAAGTTGGAAAACAGTAAGTACTTCACTTGTATATACAGTGTTGCTTTTATATTATATACTGTGAGTCTGTGTTCTTGGCTGAGGCCTGTCAGTAGTACATGCAGACAGAAATAACTGTTTATACAATCTGTTTGCAGGAGAAACATTGTACAAGTTTCAAGATGCCATTTTTTTCATTATTTTGAATGATAATTGCCCATTACATTGACAGTGAATATAGCTTAAGATGGTGTGTTATTTCAAATCTGTGAAACCTGATAAATGAGTATATCATATCCAGAGACTTTTTACTCCAGGGCACAGTGAAAAAACTGTGAACAGTTGTTTTGCCTTCAACTTTTCCACAGGGCAGGCACATGGGTACGTCCAAACCATTCAATCAGTAAGCTATTTGTCTGTAGGCTGTAAATTCTTTGTGATCGGCCAGATTTTTTTGCTTGACTGATGAAATGTTTGATTGGAACACTCTTTGCATAATGATTTCTGATGCATGGGATCTCCATCAAGGTTTGACAGTCAGATCTTTCTTTTGGGCACTGCATTAGAAAACCTTACTTCACATGTGGTTCGTAGCTTGAATTTTGGGTCTCCCTGGTTTCAGCAGCTTCCTTGTGGGCGTTATTTCTGGAGCTGAATGCAAAAAGTTGTTAGCCCATACTAAACCTTACCTAGGAGTTTGCTCCAAACCCAAATCAAGCTCTATAATTTCAGTCAAAATTTATATTGGAGTGTTAGTGTTGCACAGCCACTCCAGAAATCTTCATGGCTGCAGCTAACCGTTCAATATCTTGTGATGTTTATGGAACATCATGGAACTATGAGGCAAAATTATACTAAAATTTGAAGGCCTGCATGCTAAATATTGTGAGAGAACTGCTGGTTGAAATGATTCCTCAAAAAAGTTAACATCTTTCATCTATCTTCTCTTTTTAACAGAAAGGAAATACCGCCCTACACATTGCATCCTTAGCAGGGCAAGCTGAAGTTGTCAAAGTTTTGGTTAAGGAGGGAGCCAATATTAATGCACAGTCTCAGGTATGATACTATTTTTCCTTCTCTCTTCTAAAAGTTGCTTGGTGAAATTTCTTTAATAAAATAGATCTGAGATGCCTGGCAGAGATTCCAAATCTTTCCATTGTTGCCACACCCGAGGAGTCAGTCAAATTAAGCCTTACATGCCATTCACTGTTAAGAAAATAAATAACAAACTGAAGTTACATACTTGTTGCACTATATGTAAACTTACATTTTTTTTTATTGAAATCTTTTAACAATTTCTGGTTAGTGCTTTAATAAATAGTTTCAGAAATTCTTCAGAATGTCGAAATATTTCATCAGATGTTTTTCTTGAACTTGGTATGCAGTAGTAGTGATCATAATTTCTTAAAGTCTTGATTTATAGAATTGCTTTTCATGGTTATTTGTTGGCTAAACTTTTACAGATAACTCAGGCTTCTGAAGTAATTCTTTCTATGATTAGCCAGCATTTAAATCAAAAGTTTAGAATGCACATTTGAATTTAGGTAGTTCACCTTGTCCTGGCTGGCAAACTGACTACAAAAATAGCCCTACCTTTTGCATTGAAATGAAGCTTGTGTACTCTTCTAAAATGTACCAGACAAGAAGGAGATGTTACAGAGGGTGACTGATGGCCAGTTCTTCTCAGTCTGGGCAAGGCTGTTGTAGCAGTTGCCTCCCTGTTAAGATTTCAGAGCTGTAAACAACATGTGCTTGATTTTCAGGGAACTACATACTGCGAAATAGCTAGACGATGGTTTCTTTTTCAAGCTAATTGTTCCCAATTCCTTTGTGCTTCCAAACAGACACCATATCAATCACCATAGAGCAATTGGTCAAATTATCTTAATGTGTCTTTAAGAGACATGTTATTTCCTCTATTTACAATTAGGAAGAATTTATCAAATTGTTTGATTGTTTGTAAATTCTCCTATGATACCTGTCTGTACCTATGGAGAAATGAACAGATGGTATAGATAAGGACTATGCATGATACAGAAACTGCCATCTTTATTCCAGCAGTATCTTTCTAAAGCATCTGGTCTGGTTGTGATATTCTCAGAAATAAATAATCACACTAACAGTATTCCAGTTGAGTTTCAGTGCATCATTCAGTGACTGTAAGTACCATTTTTGCAGTTATGTTGTAAGGAAAAAAACAAGTGATGCTTCAGGCGTAGATTAATTTCAGAATAAATTTTCTTAGAACTTACTATGTATAGGCTAGATAGTGACCGTTAGCATAATCTTTCTGGGATTCATGTGCAGAACAAGAAGAGAGTAATCTGATTAAACAGTGTAGCTAGGCTCTACTTTGGTTGAAGAGAAATTCAAGAAACAAACTAGACCTGTGTGTAATGCTTTTTTCAATCCTAGTCTGTCGAGCATTCTCTTATTAATAAGAATGAGAATACAGAAAAGTTTCTGAAAGGTTTTGATATGTTGGAGCCCATTTTAAGTCTGGCTAGCTTCATATCCTGCTAGCCCTGACCTAGGAACCTGCTTTTTTTTATTTTTATTTTTATTTTTTCCTATGCAATACATTCATGTAAAGTAAATAGAGGCCAGTTTAAGAACTATTAGGTCTATAAAATAAACAAGTATGACAAATATGTCAATACCTTTGTTACACTTCAGTCCGAAACTCTCTCTGTATTTTTTAAAGTTTATTCCATTTTTTGCTGAAATCTGCTGTTAATGTGTTCCCTCAAGGCAACTGATGGTCAATTATTCCCCATCCTCCACTTCCATTAAAGATAGGGAGTGCTGTAATTCCATTGCTGAAAAATTTGACAAAATCCTTTCATAATGATCTAATTGAATGAGTCTTGCATACATTTTTCAGCTTCTCATTGTATAAGAAGATAAACAGATGTATTTAAGGTTAGGATTTCAAGCAAAGTAGGAGAACTCATGGTAAAAATGATGACTATTATGAAGAATAATTCCTCAGAAAGTCTTCATGAAGGTTTTTCTTTACACTTGAGAAAGAAATAAGTTGTTTTTCTAAGCATGAAATCCTGCTAGAATTGGAAATTGTTTTCACAGGTATTTTGTATACTATCCTAGTTTTTAAAGACATTTATTATTAGCACTGAATGTTCGACAGAGTACATGCATACTGGTTAACAGGCATTTGCTACTTGAATTACCACCCAAGTGGGATTAATTCAGCAGATAATGACACATTTAGAAAAATGACAATAGGCATCCTGGCATAAGCTCTTCTTCCTGCCTACTGAAACCTGCATCTACATGACAGGAGTTATTTTTCAGAATAATGCGGAAGGGATGTGATATTACCAAGATACTCCACAAAACATTTGCAAGTGGAGACATTTTTATGTGTAAGAGATTGCAATCTGAAGGGAAATCCCAAAAGATAAATGTAGACTTGTCATTAATCAGTAAAGATGAATTGAAGGACTTGATTAGTGTTTATAAAATGATAATATATTTTAAATAAAGAGTCATAGCATTTAAAGCAAATAATTCAGTTTTATTTGCAGTGGGTTCTTTGCCTAGCAATGTAAATTTGTAGAGCCCTGGTAGAGCATTACTATCTCTAGTGGCTTGTTAGTTTTTCTCTGTTAGGGGAAGTATATGCAGGGGGGTAATGAGGGAGTTCTGTGGAAGCTCCTCGTTCAGATTCTGCAATGACTTGCTGTCTCAATGTGATTTCTTGATTCTGGATAAATATAAGGAATGCTGTTGGCACCTGAGTATTTGTTGTCTAAGCAGTTCACCCTGTAGTTGCTGGTGGATGATGTAAATAGCAATAGAGGGCCTGTACAAGAACGATGATACCTGATGGATTGTTCCCCACTGCTGCTCACTAGTTGTTTCCAGGCAGAACAAATTCTACTATGATATATCTGTTCTGGATTTATGCCATATTGTCTTCATTTAAAAAGTCTCACTCACTTGAAATGGAGAGTGAGTCCTTAATTCAGTGTGATCCAGCTGCAGGCCTTTTGGTTGCATCTTCCTGGCCTGCTGCCATTTTGCAGAAGGAGTTCCTTGAGGAGCTCCAGTCTGGGCAGGCCAAGAGCTCCTTCTATGCCTCCCTTAGTCAGCCACAGCAATCCTGACAGAACTGCTGCTGCCATTTCCCAGATCTCCATGCCAGCAGTTTCTGCAGTGAGCCTTCCTGGTTTGGTCTTCCTACCCCTGCTCCCCGTAGGAGCAGCTAGTGCTGCTACGAAGCATCTTCAGGGAAAGCTGTCCCTGGTACAGATCATTCCTTCGTACCATTTCCTGGCAACAGCACTGTCAGTAGCACAACTGTTAATGAGTGTGAGTAGAGAGAGTTGTATGACCCAGATCTGTCAACTTAGTAAGTGTCGGATGCACGTTGGTAATATCTGTTGACAGCATTCAGCACTTTGAATAGTATTTACATGTGTGTTTTCACATACATGTTCCCATGTAACTAGTGATTTGAATATGAATGAACAGATGTTGCCTATATTGTGAGTGGAAAGAGTGTATGGTTTTGGTCAGAGCTCTGAGCAGACTTCTAAGAATTTGCTTCTAATACTGAGTTGCCAGAGACTTCTCATGTAAGATTAAATAAAAAAGTTATTTCTCTGTATTTCCATACTCTATAAGGTTCCCTGATTTCATAGTCGTGTTCAAGAATCATGTGCATCATAGACAGTAAGTTTTAAAATAAAAACAAGAAAAGCAGAATTCAATGCTAATAAAGAATAAAAAATGTTAAAATATAAAAAATGATTCAAGCATATGTAACTACAGCTGATTGAAAAAGGAAAATACAAAGTTACATAGGAAAAGGAAAAGAGAATTCAAGCATTTAGGTTTCAAGAATTCAGTTCTTTTCAGGCATACTCAAATTACATATATATATTTATTGGTTAGGAAATATGTAATGGGTTAAAAGACTAAGGCAAACAGAAATCTTAATTGGAAAGAACTTAATTAAGAATTTCTGAAGTGAATAAAAACAGAAAGGTATGGAATGAAAACCTGAGAAATGGACTGAAAGGCTCAGTTGCTCCTTCTTCTACCCTGAACTTTAGGAGAGCCAACTTTGATCTCTTCTGGGACCCACTCGGAGCTATCCTGTGGGCTAGGGTGTTAGAAATAGGGGGGCCTGTGAGAGCTGGTCAGCATTGAAACAGCTCTTCTTCCAAGCTCAGGATCAGTGTGTCTCTGTGAGCAAGAAATCAGGAAAGGGTGGCAGGAGACCTGCGTGGATGAGCAGGGAGCTCATGCACAAACTCAAAGGGAAGAAGAAGGTCCATGAAATGTGGAAAAAGGGTCTGACCACTTGGTAACAATATAGAAATGTTGTCAGGGCCTGCAGGAATGCGACGAGGAAGGCTAAAGCCCGCCTGGAATTGAATCTGACAGAGGTGATAAAGGATAATAAAAAAGGCTTTTTTAAGTATGTTAACAGTAAAAGGAAGACTAGAGAGAATGTGACTCCTCTACTAAGTGAGGGGGGTGTTCTGGTAACGGGGGATGCTGAGAAGGCAGAGATACTGAATGCCCTCTTTGCTTCTGTCTTCAGTGAAAAAGCTCTCCCTCAGGAATCCCAGACCCTGGAGGTTAGTGAGAGGGTCTGGGTAATGGAAGACTTCCCTCTAGTCAGGGAAGAGGCAGTCCGAGAGCATGTAGGCAACACCAATGTTCATAAATCCATGGGACCCGATGGGATGCATCCACGGGTGCTGAGGGAGCTGGCGGAGGTGATTGCTGACCCACTCTCTGTCATCTTTGAGAGGTCTTGGAGAACAGGGGAGGTGCCTGAAGACTGGAGGTTAACCAGTGTCACTCTGGTCTTCAAAAAGGGCAAGAAGGAAGATCCAGGTAATTACAGGCCAGTCAACGTCACCTCTGTCCCTGGAAAGGTGATGGAACAGATTGTGCTGGATTCCATCTCCAGACACCTGGAAGAAAAGGAGGTTATCAGGAGTAGTCAGCATGGGTTCACCTGGGGAAGGTCATGCTTGACCAACCTGGTAGCCTTCTATGATGTTGTCACTGGCTGG